AGGCAGCAACCGCCTGGCTAAGGAGCCTGAGCAGAGGCTGCAGGTCTGGGCCAACCATCTGCAGAGGGTTTAGGGGTTTAGGGTTTAGGGGTTTAGGGTTTAGGGGTTTAGGGTTTAGGGCTTGTGTTTTAGGGATCCTCCCTTTAGGGTTTATTGGAGGCATGTCGGGATAATGGAAAATAAAGTGGAAACTACTATTTAGGGTTTGGGGGTGTAGCTCCAAACCTTCTACGCAAGGTAATCTCCTCCCCCTAGTACTAACCCCCCCCGCTCGAACATTAAATTTATTCTCAAGACATCAGAATATACACCAATGGGAGTATTTATGTGTATAGGTTATTAGGGGGGGTAGCGGGTTTAATGCTGGGGGAACTCCTTGAAGGGGGTAATATGGGGGATCATATAGGGGACCACTAGAGGTGTTATCAAGGGGGATACTAGGAGTTTAGACTATAGCTCATCTGAGTAGTATTTTATTTGGGGATACTATGGTACCCAATACAGAGTAAGATTCTATCCTCCTTTTGGGGTATAGTATGTTATATAAGGAATATAATCTGACTAGGTTCGACCACCAAAAAAATGCTACTCATCTGGAGCCCCGGGCTTGCAGTTTTACCCAAATGTCCTTCTATAATCCGTATCTCTAGTAACTAGTGGCTAGCGGTTTCCACTTCTTTTTTCATTTTCTTTACCATTTGATTTGATTCTCCATTTTGGGGGTACTACGCCTACAGCTTCAACCCCTACTAATATGACTGTGCCCATATTCTTCATTCTCCAATTCCCCTATATGGTAGATTCCCAAAATAAGGGGACCCCAATATAGACCCCAAAGTACTATAGTCCTTATTAATGGGACCCCCAAAAAGGTACCCCTAATTTTGGGAAACTCCTACTATCCCCCTTAATATCCCCTATAGTAGTCCCCTATATAATCCCCTATATGAACCCCCTTTAAGGAGTTTAGACTATAGCTCATATGCCGGCAACTTCCAAGAAGGTGCCCACCGAAGCCTCGGCACTTGCCACCTGGTTGTCGTTCGCATCAGAGGTGGGATCCAGGATCAGGAGAGGGGAGGATTGGGGCTTTGTGTTGCTTCTTCCTCAGAGTCAGGTGGAATCTGCTCCTGCATGCACAGTGTTCCTCAATGTGCCGGAGCCCTGGGTGGAAAGCCTAAGTAGGTCTCACATAGCTCAACAATTCAGGAGCGCAGATTGAAAAAGACACAGCCGCAAGCTAGCAGCCTGATCAGAAATGGTGTCGAGTTGCCGGAGAGTCGGGCAGCCTACATGTCGTAGACCATGCGTCGAGGTATGATTTGGCTCCTGCGACGTCGGGAGCCTGGTCCCGTGTTTGCAGTCTTGCGCTTGGGGCACTGCGCCTCGTGAAAGCTGCCAAGCAGATTGTGCCAAAATTCAGGAAAAGACATCTGAGGTCGGTCTTAAACTCGGTACTTTGCAATACCATGGTCACGGCCTTAGCCTGCGAGTACTTTGCGGAACTCCCGAGGCATCTGCGTGATTGCAAGTTTCGGCCTGCGTGCTTTTCTAGAGTCAACACCCATGGTCGAGGTATAAATTACAGAGTGTGACATCATCTGAGTCAGTGTCTAAACTCCGAGTATCCCCCTTAATAACCGCTAGTAGTTCCTCATATAATCCCCTATATAACCTCCTATTTTAGGAGTTTAGACTATAGCTCATCTGAAGATTATTCTTCCACACGGCATTCTGAAGCAACTGTCGTGCATTTTGGGGCTCAGCCTCACCGCGATGTGCTCCATGAGATTTGCACTTGACTGCGTATGTGCAGGGTTCTGCTTATGGCGCAGTAAAATGGAGGTTTCCCAATATCAGGGGTACCTTTTTGGGGTTCTTATAGCAAGGATTATGGTATTTTGGGGTTTATATTGGCCCCTCCCCCAATTTTGGAACACTACGGTAAAAGCCATAAATAGCAGTATATGGAGTAGCTTCCATTTCATTTTTTCGTTTGATGCTCCATGATTCGTAAACAACCCCTATGTTGGAGACTATACGCTAAACCCTAAACCTTAAAAACTACCAAATGAGTAGTATTTTATTTGGGGATACTATGGTACCCATTAAAGGCTCAAGCGACCGCTGACCAAGGTAGGTTTTCCCCAGGACTTGTTGCCCGGCATCTTGGTCATAGGAGCTCGCGATGGCTTCACATGCTGCGCTTTTGAGCGCAGCGGTTAAAGCCGCGTGCCAGTCGAAAGCCCCAAGGCGAGCCGTTGCGGCTGTTGCTGCAGCTGTTACGACGGCTCTCTTGCAGCCTGCCGCAGCAGCGGCTTCAAATGCTATGGTCCCTGAACGGCCCACTGGTGCCTGGTGCCGACAGATAGCCAGGAAGATCTGGAGCTGCGACTGCGTGAGGTTCGTATTGCTAAACGTAGGGCAAAGCGACAGCGGCGGAGAGCTAAGGCTATGGCAGCGGCCAACACCTCTGAGCCTGCAGTGGACAGGGTCGCTACTGCATTGGAGGCAGTAGCGACGTTGCCATGTGAAGATTCTGTACCCATGGATACCTCTGAGCAAGGGAAACGCAAGACGGTGACCAATGACGATACAGTTATGACTCGATTGCTTAGCACTGTTCCGGGCAAGCAGCGCCCGAGAGTGGAAGTGTGTCCTCAATTTTTGTCGGAGGTGGCCAATCGAAGTTCAAGTACCGATGCGCAGAGCCAATCCTCACAAGGTGCTGCTACCTTCAATACTTGGTTGGAGGTTCATGAGGCAGTGGGCACAACATTGCGCAGACCGGGCCAGCCGCCTTCATCCGGCACTGCAGGACGCAGTGGCCGGGGAAGAGGCCCCAGGTAGTTTTGTGCCAGTATCGAAAAGATACTCTTTCCACTCAAAGGCCCGGGCAAGAGCCCCGGTGCTAAAACGCTTGATCGCCCGACAGAAGTCCGTGAAAAATACTATGGTACCCACTATACAGTAAGATTCTATCCTCCCTTTGGGGTATAGTATTTTATATAAGGGATATTATCTTACTGGGTTCAGCCACCAAAAAAACACTGCTCAAACGAGGTGAAGACTTTCGGCGCATTCCACGCCACAATTGAGATCTACGGCCAGGAGTGGCAGCTGCCTTGGTGCTGGTTTGCATAGGATTGTAATATGCATAGATTATAGGATACTGTAATAGTGTAATATACTTGTAGAATATATATAATATACCATAAAATACAGTAATCTACACAATATGTCACAATATACTACAATATGCTGTATTATACTATGTCATACATTAATATACCATGATATACCATACTGTACTATAATATGCTATAACATGCTATAATACATCATGATATGCTGTAATCTGCGCTCGTGCGTTTTTGCAAGCTGCTGGCATAGTCTTTGCAGCAAGTTGCTTTCTGAGCCGTCCCCGGCAAGATGAAAGGGCAATTACTTTGCACCACCGGATATTATTCAGCATGCAAGCGATTTCCATCCCAGTGTGGCAAGTCGAATTTCAATATCATCTTCAGTTGCCTCAGGGGCTTCTACCGACAAGTTGATCCGGAAGTTTGTGGCGTATGCAGGTGCGGGGCTGGAACAATCCCACTTTCATCAAAGGGTCCAGCTAGCTTCAATTATTATCATATATTATAGTATATCATAGTATAATACAGTATATTATAGCATATTGTGACATATTGTGTATATTACAGTATATTATGTTCTTGCAAGGTGCCCTTCTCAGCATGAACATCTCAGACAACCCGGGAGAGAGTTTGCAGCCATTACCAGACATCTAGGGTTTAGGGTTTAGAGTATAGGGTTTAGGGTTTAGGGTTTAGGGGGAGGAAGGCCGTCTTTGCAACTTTCGTCACCGAGCATTGGTTAACCAGAGCTCCCAACGAGACGGCAAGTTGGCTGTCCAAGGATGGTTTAGGAAAAAGTAGGTCAACAGCATCAAAGAAGAAACACAGCATGGGGTTTGGGATCTCCGTTTCCTAAACCCTAAACCGTGGATCTGGGGCCAGGAGCCGTCAGCCTCGCCAGCATCCCATCCATGTCTACCGCCAGTCCGTAAACTTGGGTCAGACGCGACTCACGGACTGCGGGAAGCGGGGGGCACGTGTCAGGTTTTGGACCCTATCATAATGTGGTAGTTTCCATTTTCTTTTCCATTATCCCTAAATTAAGGAGGTTGGTCTGCTTTGAGGGAACTCCAACGAAGATGAAGTCAAGATATTGGTGTAGTGCAGCCCAGAGAGTTGCCACGGCAAGCGTGGAAAGGCTCTAGATTATATGAGCTATAGTCTTAATTGCTGCAAGGGGGTTATGTAGGGCATTATATAGGGGAGTAGTATAGGGGTTATTAAGGGAGATACTAGCAGTTTGGACAAATTCGCATGATACCTTGCTGGATAATGTAGACCCCTGATCAATAAACTCCCTCCTTGAACGGTCTTAATATTAGGGGTTTATTAATCAGGGGTCTACATTATGTGGGGCTATGAAAGTAACGCCGCCATCCTTTTGGCTCTTAGCCTGTTCTGCGAGGAGCGCCCTCATGGGAACATGGCATGGAGAGGTGGAAGTGTAGAAGCCAGTACAGAATGCTTGTTCACAATCCCATATCGTATGTAACCAGTAGAAGGCTTAAGTTCGTGGAGATTGCATTCAAAGTCTGATGGCTCATAGATCATGCTGTTCGGGACTTTGATGGGATGCTGCTAGTCAAAGGCAAGGAGCCCAATCCAGTTCCCGCTCAGCCATCGCAGGGATTGTTTCTGACATCAGGGATCGGATGAGGCGTAGCTAGGTGCTTCTTTCCGCATGCCGGCTGCGGAGGCGAGCGAGGCCTGTGGATTTTTGATGCAAGGGGTGGCAGTGAAGCATTGTTGTCCACGGGTGTCCACAACAACAAGGCTCCCACGATGCCATCTCAGCTCCAAGTTTTGTCATCCATGGTAGCGGCACTTGATCCGCCCATCAGAAAACTGCCGCATGTGCCGTTGCCTGGAGACTTCGTTCAACTGACTCACATGCTTCCCATCAACCCGGTGTCCCATATAACTCCCACAAGTTCCCCAATAATGGAGAATCAAATGGAAAAGAAAATGGAAAATGAAATGGAAGCTGCTATAATATATAGGGCTATATGGGGGATATGGTATTTTATTTGGAACTCGTATACCTATATAACTCCAATAACCATAATAAATTGTAGTTTCCATTTTCTTTTCCATTATCCCACTATAACCCCTATATCAGCATAGGGGGTCCTGGCTTGCGGCTTTGAAGGCCTCCTTAGATCAGGGCGGCGAGGAGGAGACCTGGCCCCAGCGATCAACTTGCAGGTCTCTCACTGTTTGGGGGTCCCTTCAGGGGTTATGACTGCGCAGTTCCTGTTTTTTTTGGGACAACGTTTTGGAGAAATCCTGATTTAACACCGATTTGATGTTCTGAGGCCTTAAAGTGGGCTCGATGAAGTTGATCGAGTTGAATTGAACATCGCGTAATGAATAGCTTTTTTTTAGTACGTGTACTAGAGAGCAGATTATTATGCTGCTATGATGATACATGAGCTGGTAAGTATTTGAAGCCACTCTCTCTTTTGCAGAACTGTTTGCAGAGCTTTTGAATCCTGCCCTTCAAGATACGCGAGTTCAGGGTTTTTTCCAACAAGGAACAGAGCACGCTTATCTACCTATGCAAGCAAAAGTACAGCGTGCAACCTTTTCGGGGCAAGTCCTTCCCTGGAGAACTAGACAGGGAAAGACTGAGGTCAGTTCCCTTGTGTAAGGAAGATGCAGAGGCGTCTTCCACAGAACGGTAAGATAGGTACCCGGCACTCGCCTCATTCCAGGGTTTCCGAGAGGTTTAGATTTGCGGCTTTAGGTGTCGGGTGCTTTTTTTTCATAAATACCTTCAACTATTATTACTATTACTACTATTATTAGTTACCAGTACTATTAGTACTATTACGATTATACTACTACTACTACTACTGCTGCTGCTGCTGCTACTACTACTACTACTACTCCGCTGGGTTGAACCTCACTCAGCTCAGGCACGAAGAAGGCCTTCTGACCGGGCCAGCAGGACTTGCATTCGCTGCCTGCGCTGCAGGCCTTGAGCTTCTGCAGGCTTCGTGAGCCCTCAGAAGCCTAGGGTTTAAGGATAACTGTGAAGGGTTTAGGAGTTAAGCGTAGCTACAAAAGGGTTCAGTTCAGGGTTTAAAGGTTAGGGCCAAGCCAGAAGCAATGTCTCTATCCCCAAGTCCTCGTGCTGCTGTCTGGTTTCTGATTCGAGTCCATGCCTTCACTTGCGTCATCAACATGAGCATCATTGTCACGAACAGTCGTGGTAATGTCATCATCAGAAACGTCATCATCATCATCATCATCATCATCAGCATCAGCATCCCTAATGTCCTTACGCTTTCCTCCCCGGAGTTATAGTCCGAGATGCGTATATAATCCCTATACGCACCTTTTTTAAACCATTGGACCAGAAGCCCTGTACAATCCTTGATGATCCCCATACACTCCCCCATAGAATGAGAATTATGGACCGTAATCTCTAGGTATTCACAGTACTGGCAGGAGCTTATGAGAGCCGTGAGGAGTCGAAGCCACTCCAGGCTGAGCATCCAAACAGATTTATGCGTCTTAGGGTTGAGGTTTCAGGGTTTA